TTTTTTTTTTTTTAAGAGAAAAAAGGTAACTAAATGCTTATGGTATAAATCAGAAAATGAGAAGAAAACTAAGAGGGGTCCATCAAGCACAGAGAATCCAGCAAAAGATTTATCGATGCTATCCCACCAAGAAAGAAGAGTCAAGAGCTCTCCTGGCCAACTTGAATGCCATCCTAACTGGTTTATTTGTCTTTAAGCTCCACTATATTTTCTTTAAGCTCTACTATATTTATCTATTTTTAGAAGTATAAGTAAACTGGAACCAGATTTAATTCATTGGCACATCTTGAATAGGGAATAAAAAGTTAGGTGGTTCTAGAAGCCAAAAAGGCAATGAAGATTCTAACAGTTATACAGAACTGCTACGCAGGAGCTGCACAGCTGATCTGATGTCCCTTACTACACAGATGTTGGAATTTTTTCGCTTTTTCAATGTCCCATTTGTGCCTTCACAGATTTAAAACTATGCTGTATGAAGAAAGGTGATGTTATTAAAGAGGGATAACTTCTTTTGTAATTTCTGTCACAGACATCCATGTCTTGAAGGAAATGGCCTGACCTACCAACGACACTAGGAATTATTACTTTTTGAAGCAGGAACAATATAAAGGATAAAAAATCTTGTTCTGACTTTTCTTGAGTTTAATCCAATGTCATAAAATGCTATCATTATTTTGAAGTATATCCACACCAGGAAGTATGTTTTGGCATGCTTGTATTTTTAAGCATGTGATGCCAGGCAATTAAGGTGCTGAGGTAGATTAAGTAATTTTTGGTCAAATTCTATTACTTGAAAGGATTTGTTTTGGTGGGAATCTTAACACAAAAACAAGACTAAACTTTTATTTTTACCTTTTCATATCAATAATTCAGGATTAATAAATTCATAGTTCATTAGTCCAACAGACTGTCTTGATTTCAATCCTAAAATTTGAAGGCTCTGATAACGCTAAGCAGAAGTTAAAAATTAAGTTGATGAGAAAAATACTGTCAAGAAATTTGAACTTATAACTGTCAAGTAGCATTATTTAAATAAAAATCTTTGCTTGGATACAAATTTTAGAGAAGAGAAATGAAGAAAACTTAAGTTTCAATAGAGAAAAATTTATGATAATCTAATTTAGGGAAGGACTAAATCTTCTTGTTCATGAATCGTCAATGAATTTAGTAATAATTTTTCTGGTATATAATAAAACTGTTATGTTTTTAATAAAAGGTATTTATCCCTCCTACTGCATATATAGTGGTCAGAGTCAGTTTCACAGCAAACAACCAAAAGAAACATGAAGTTTAAAATGTTTTGATTTTTGATATCTTTGCAATTAGCCAAAATGAGATATCATAAAGATATCATAATATAGGACAGAAAGAAATGCCTGTTAGTTAAGAAAATAATTAATTGTATTATATTTAATGTCCTCCAGATGAAGAATTTATTAAAAGTGAAAATAGCACAAAGCAAAGAAGATAAATATGTGTAGGGAAGACACAAAACTGAAGAAATATACTACCTTTGGATTGTCTACATTTTCAATACAAAATACTCTATTTAGTTACTTGTTATTAATGCTATATTGCAAGAGAGATAGTGTAATAAATATAAGAACCGATAAAATATCACAAAATCATGATACATATAAAGTATAAAATTTCTATATGTGGTATGTCAAAATAGCTAAATGAACGTTAAAAATGTTAATGAGAAACTGAAATGTTATAAGTCTGCAGTGGAAATAAGTCCATAAACCACCATGTAAGGAAAGGAAAAGAGGAACTCAGAATGGGAGATGGTAGTACAGAAAGAAATGCAGTTCTGCATCAATGGCAAGCGTATTTTTACCCCACTCAGTATCATGCATTCTTCTGGTGCTGTGTTAGGACACAGTGACTGTGTATAAGGTTGGTTACAGTCAACAAACAAGACTAAGATTTAAATATGTCGTTAATTCAGTTAACTTCTTACAGTATGAAAGAAAAGTTATAACATGCAACCTCATTTTCAATACACTGACAGTGTATTTTATGTATTTTACTAAGTTATTTATAAGGACATGTATAAAACAAGCACAAAAAGCATTGTATAGATTTCAAATCCTGTTACTTGGGATTTTTTCCCTCCCCCAAATTTCTATTTTAAATATTGCTTCAGGTCACACTACATAATTTTTTATTCTCTGAAAGCTGAAATTTTAAAGGAAATTATCATTTCTAAAATAATTGAATACATTATACAATTTACTTAGATTTAATTTCTTTGATCAAGGATACTGCTTATCTTAAATTTTAAGCCTTTAAGTTTGAGTGCTTAGTGCTATCAGAGAAGTACAGATGATAGGATTAATTAATTAGCTGAGTTAACTTTCCACATTCATTTGAAATATGATCAAAAGATGTATAAAACTTTTGCTTTAGATTAAAAAAACAAACATAAGATATTCCTATGAATAGTATTTCAAGGCAACGTATGTGTTCAGTTTATTTCTTCAGGCTATTACTATAATATCCCATTGTATTAATTATACACATAGCACAGGACAAAGCCTGCAGTATCTCTTTCATCTACTGGCATCCATTAGATTCAAGCAGAACTTAAAATGAAAACAAAAACATGTTTAAAATTATATATGAAAGAATTTAGAAGTATTTCTTGACCATCTTTACATAAACTCATCCTCTACTGTCCCTTTCTTTATTCCCTCAAAAATTCATATTGATTCAAATATTTAAAGCATGGATTCTCTTAATAAATTATATTAGGCATGAAGGAGGGAAATAAAAACTCACATTATGACCTAGTTAATAATATTCTGGGCATATTTTCTGAGAAGATGTATTATTAAATTAGCTATCATGATTAATACAAGTTTCTAACTGGACATCTGAAGGAAGGCTGAATTTATTTCACTTGTAAAAAAATCTCACCAAAGTATGTTGTTAAGAATATATCAAATGACAGTTTTGATAATCTGGAAAGGTTTATAAAATGAATGCTTTAATTTAATAAATTACTTACTTCAGCATCTACTATTACAAAGCATCATGGCAAGAGCTGTTGATAGTTAACTCTTATGGCAAAATCCTTCTAATTTTAATAGTGTAGTTCCAGCAAGAATTATGAAAAAGTCCATTATTCTCAACCATTAATATCTAGAAAAAGATATTTCATATACTCACCCCTTTATCTCCTCTTGTTTTAGAATTAAATTTCACTGTTTTTAACCGGGCTCGTTCTTTCTTCTCAACTCTGTCAAAGTATAGAATGCTATTTTTAAAGTACACCAAAATATCTAAGGGTCTAATTAGAAATCATCAGAACTGATACTTTAGTATGGGGCATTTTTATATTCTAAAACCTTCAGTAACTGTCTAGGTTTGTATCCCAAAATTATAATTTCTGAAAATGAAATACAGGTCTCATTACAAAACAAAACCACTTGGTGAAGTATCAAAATATAGTATATGTGTACTTATAGATGCACTCACATTCCATAATTATACTGAAATTATTATGAGAAACCACTTCTGAGTTTAGCAATTTTCTGGATTTTGTTTCTTTTGTTATTGTTGTCTCCATATTAGCTTAGCATGGGGCATACATATATGCTAAAAAGCGGAAGAGAGAGAAAGCAAATACGGCAAAATGTTAACAATTGGTGAAAGTAGGTGAAGGATATGTGGGTGTTCCTTGTACTATTCTTCTTCTTGTACTTAATTTTCTGTAGCTCTGAAATTTTTATTAAAAAATGGGAAATACAAAAATCGAATTTAACTCCAGTGACAGATTTGTGTAAATACATGAAGTAACCAATTATAGTATACAAAAAGAGTTTTAAAGAGCTTTAAAATATCTGTGGAAGGATATACAAGACCTGGTAACCTTAGTTATCCCTCTAAAAATGAAAAGGATGCCAGGAGTACAAGGTTAAGAGGAAGCCTGTATAGCTTTTAGATCTTCTGATTTTTGAACCATGTTAAAATGTTAACTATTCAAAATAAGTAAGCCAACAAAACTACATCAAAACAAATGTTTCATGTAGATTGTAATACCAATATGAACCTTGTAAAATTTCATGTCAATTAAGCTTTTTATCCTTAATTTCAACATAGCAATTATGTTAGTATATAGCAGAAAAACTTACCAAAATAGTCTATGAATAAATGCATTTTCTTCATTATCTAGCGATATAGTTTTACTGTGGGTACAGAAGAACCTTAGCATTCATGGACTTAAAACCTGTTTTTACTATTCTAGAACAATCCATGACATGATTAGAGAGTCTGCATGATTAACTAATTTGTAATTTTGCCTAGGCACTTACTGAGGGCACTGCAAAACTAACATTTAGTGAGTAAACATTTACAACTCAAAATGGCTTTGTTTCTCATAGTTACCTTGTTCACTAAGTAGCTGAGTGACTTAAATTGTGTTTATTTGTAAATACTGTTCCTGAATAAGAATTGAGAACTATAGTAACTACAATTCCTTGTGCTATTATTAGAAGTAAAGAGGTCTAAGAGATAGTTCTATTTAAGAAAATACAAGTTTTGAATACATTCAAGAATGAAATGGCATAATTAGTTGTGGTTTCATATGTAGCTTATGGAAGAAAAACTATATTCCATAATTTTATTTATGAATTTGGAAATTCAGAGAGGTCTTAAAAGTCTCTTGCAGCACTTCTGACTTAAAAACCAACTTCACAGAATTTTTATACAAAATGAAAAGAATCTTGTGCTCGCTTCGGCAGCACATATACAAAATGAAAAGAATCTTTTTCCACCAAAGTCAGTGTATTTCTCATCTGTTGCCGGCACACATAAAGCCTATGCACGATAGGAGGTGCCAAAGGATAAGACAATTTTTAGGAACTCTGACTCTGATATTTAAGATGTGAGGTTTCTACTGACTCGATGAGGCACAGAGACAGAGGAAGCATTTCTGAATTTAAAGTAGACTACGTTCTATTCCAGGAAAAAAGTTATGCTGAGGGCTGCATTGCTAAAAAAGGAGTTGCTACCAAATATACGATCTAGCCAAATAGTTGGAACTTGTTAAATACATGGATCTAGCCAAGAATAGTCATAAATCCCAAAGCCATAACTAAAAATCTTGGTAATACCTTAATATTCCTACTCTTCAACTTCTATAAACAGTAACAAAAATATATATAGGTAGAGGTCTATAAATAGGTATATGAATTGGCATACTTATCATCAATTATAGACTCTTAAAATAAATATTACACCATAAGCTTGACCTGAAGTGAATTAACCAGCTAGAATAAACATTAATGTCTCATTAACAATTTTTGCTGGCTATCTTAAAACTTAAAAAGACTTTCAGGCAATGATTTGCACGAATCAGACCTCACAAATAAGTTATTTGGGGAGAATTATGAACTGACATTTTAATAGCTTTCCCACAAAAATAGGGACATTCAGCAGTATTTCACAGACCTAGAGAGGGTTCTTTACGCTGGGATCATCCTGTTCAAAGACTATTTCCACTTAACCACTTTTGCCAGTAGATAGTAAGTATGCCTCACTATAATAAACGGTTAAAAGCAAAGAGGAAAGACCAGCGAATGCACAAATACTTCTAAATTAAGCAAGAAAAGAGATATGAAGCAAATACCAGATACTTCTAAAATTTTTGATTTACACTTCCAATTTTTAAGTCTAAAGGAGGCAATTCAATCAAAAATCCTGAAAGTACTTAGTAGGTTTCATTGCCACCTACATGGATAAAGCACAGAGGCTTTTAAATCTTTTTCCCTCCAATGGTATAGATACATAGCAAAGTTATTTAAATATATTTATTTTGTTCTGAGCAACTAAGTAGGAGCTTTAGAGAGATTTCTCTTTGGGGGCATCATATTCTTTAATTATGTCACTGGTTATAATATAAGGTGAACAGAATTAAATGATTGTGAAACGTAATGCGGAAAACTAAGCATAAAATCACCCTCAGTAAAATAATTTTAAAAATCAACAATTATTTGTCTATGTTGCCCTACTTTCAAGTGGTAAGACTGTAATGGACTTATACTTACCTGCGTTTACTGGGAATTACCCCAACTTCGTCACTCTCCCCATCTGGTGTAACCTGCCTGGCTTGCCACCATTCATCATCAGAAGCATTAATAACATGGAGGATATCTCCAAATTTGAAGTTCAATCCCTGACTGGGAAGGCCACTGTCTTTAGTCTTGTCATAATCAAAAAGGGCTCTAGATTAAGAAGAAAAAAGTGCATGTTTATTTGGTGTTTTTGTTGTTTGTTTTAAAGATTTATTTATATTTTAGAGTGATAGAGACAGCGTGTGAGAATCTTCAAGCAGACTCCCTGCTGAGTGAGGAGCCCAACAAGGGGCTCCATCTCACAACCTTTGAGATCATGACCTGAGCTGAAACCAAAAGCCGGATGCTCAACTGACTGAGGCACCCAGGTGCCCCCCACCACATTTGTTATATTACCAATATTAAGTTAACATAGGATTCTGAAAGTGTATATAACCCAGATAAATAAACAACATACCACAGTAGGCAAAGTAATGCCAAGCTCAAGAATTTGCACTATATACAGAAAGAGACAAAAAAGAAATAGCAAAATTGACTTACAGCTACACCTTAGTTCTCTCAGTACTGAATGAGAAACTTTAAAAAATGCTTTTAATATAATCCAGTGGGAAGCCATACTGAATTCTAAAATGAAGACAAACCTAGAGAGTTGCTCTAAATTAATAAACAAAGAGTAAATATTAAGAGGCATCTTCTCTTTATTTTGGCTATACAAACTGGGTAAAACAAACTCCCTGACAGATTTGAGTCATTAGTTGTGGACTATAAGAATGGATTAACAGAGTGATTATTTTGTCAGTTAATTATTCCTTCCATTTGTTCACAAAGCTAGAGTTAATAGAATTTTCAGAGTCAATAACAATGATGAAAACTAAGTACAGATGACTTTAACTGCTGCCAAATATTCTGGAAAAAAATACTGTATTAATATAATAACTGCAAAATGTTAATCTTTTAAAATTTGATAAAAAGAAAAATTGTGTTCTATTACTTAATGTACAATATTTAAATTCTTATCCAAAGTAGTTCTCTTAAGGAAAGAATCCTAGCAATTACATTTATAATACAATTTATTCATTTTTTGGTTCTAATTTGGCAACTGGAAATTAGGATACAAATCATATTCCTTTTTGTGTTAACCAACTTTTTTTTTTTTAAAAGATTTTATTTATTTATTTGAGAGAGATCAAGAGTGAGAGAGCACAAGCAGGGGGGGAGCAGCACAGGGAGAGGGAGAAGCAGGCTCCCCACCAAGCAGGGAGTCTGACGCGGGGCTCGATCCCAGGACTCTGGGATTATGACCTGAGCTGAAGGCAGATGCCTAACCAACTGAGCCAGCCAGGTGCCCCGAGTGTTAACCAACTTTTTAAACCTATCTTTTCTTAAAGTTTTTATTTAAGTTCCAGTTAGTTAATATACAGTGTAATATTAGTTTCAGGTGTACAATATGGTGATTCAACACTTCCATACAACACCCATGCTCAACACAACTACACTCCTTAATCCCCATCACCTATTTAATCCATCCTCCCACCCACCTCCCCTCTGGTAACCATCAGTTTGTTCTCTGTGGTTAAGAGTCTGTTTCTTGGTTTGCCTTTCTCCCTCTTCCCCACCCCCATGTTCATTTGTTTTATTTCTTGAATTCCATATATGAGTGAAATCATATGGCATTTGTCTTTCTCTGACTTACGAATTTCACTTAGCATAATATTCTCTAGCTCCATCCACGTTGTTGCAAAAGGCAAAGAATTCATTCGCTTGAGTAATATCCCATTACACACACACACACACACACACACACACACACACCATAACTTCATTTTCTATTCATCAGTTGATAGATACTTGGGCTGTTTCCCTAATTTGTCTACTGTAGATAATGCTGCTATAAACATGGAGGGGGGGCATGTATCCCTTTGAATTAGTATTTTTGTATTCTTTGGGTAAATACCTAGTAGTGCTATTGCTGGATCTTAGGGTAGACCTATTCATTGCTGCAGATTGGAGGAAGCTTAAATGGGGTGTCTGAAGAGAGGGATATTGAAATAATTTACTCCACAAGACTCTAGAAATGCTCAGAAGTAGAAGTGTACAGAATCCAGCTAGGCAGAGGTAAGTTAGAGCAGTGAAAACACAAGAACTGGTAGAAACACTTCATATAGCACTTAGACCCTCCAGATTCCTTCTCTTGTTCCCAAACCCATAGAAGACAAGAGGTTTAGTTTCTAAAGAAATTGAATCTGAGAAGCTCTGTACTTTGGAACTTGGTGGGGAGGCTAAAAACAGATTTTTTTTTTTAAGATTTTATTTATTTGAAATAGAGAGAAAACGAGTGGTGGGGAGGGGCAGAGGGAGAGAGAGAGACAAAGAGAAGCAGACTTCCTGCTGAGTAGGAAGCCTGATTCGGGGCTCAATCCCAGGACTTGGAGATCATGACTTGAGCCAAAGGCAGAGGCTTAATGAACTGAGCCACCCAGGCGCCCCTAAAAACAGACAGATTAAAAAGGAATCTGCACACTGAAAACTGAAATTCTAGCAACTTGGGGTTTAATACTGCAGGCAAGGGATTAAGGATTCTTTTCCAGAGATATTTAATGACCCCCAAGAAAAGAATGACCTGGGGTGGGCGATGGCAATGAACAAAGATAATTATTTTCTAGTTAAATCCACTAGCTTCATTCTCTATTCATAAGGATCACTAAATATTTAAAGATCGCCTCACATACAAAATACAAGAAAACAAGTAAACTAGGAAAAAGAAATACAGAAAAAGCAGAGAATTTGAGAAGCAGAAGAAAATATTAGAGCAACATGAGAAGATATTATGTCTACGAGATAAAAAGAAGATGACAAAACAAGGATCTATTAAATAAGAAGGGGCTCTCAGAAAATAAAATAGGATAATATACCTCTTCCACACCCCAAATTCTCAATGAAGGAGAAGGCAAAATAAAGTCATTTTCAGACATGCTAAGATTCAAAAAGTATCCCCCACACAACCTTTCCTCAAGAATTTACTGAAGAATGTGCTTTGGTAAAATAAAAGTAAGGTGAGAAAGAAAAGGTGCCATCTCAAAACCAGACTCTCACACAGCAGAGAGCTAAAAGGCAGTGGCAAAGGCAAGTCCCGTGTGAGAACTATACAGCAAGTCTATAGAGCAACTAGTCCAACTGGAGCAGAAAGATGGAAAAAACTGAGGTGCCTCGGTGGCTCAGTTGGTTCAGCATCCCACTTTTAATTTTGGCTCAGGTCATGATCTCAGGGTCATGAGATCAAGCCCCATGTCAGGCTCCACACTGGGCAAGGAGCCTGCTTAAGATTCTCTCTATCCCTCTGCCTCTCCCTGCACCCTGGCTCACATACGCATCTCCTTTCTCTCTCTCTCCCTCAAAAAAAAGGAAAAAAAAAAAAAAGATGGAAAAAATCTCAAGTGATAAGATTGTATGTGCAACATGTTTCATCATGTGAAAAACTCCACAGAGTTATGTAAGATAAAGATATTTAATAATAGGTACACGGACAATTAAGCAAATAAAAATGACACAATTATTATGCTCAAGAAAAATGAAGGGTTGCAAAAGAAAGGAAGCATGGTCATAATATACTACTTGAGTAATGACAGATAACTACATAGTCACTCTAAATGCTATTAATTTTATTAACAGTGATGGCACTATTTTGAGTGACAGAGGAAGAGGCAGAATGATTTGATATGAAAGAGAAAGTTGTTATCTACTATGACAATAAATCCATAATGTCCAAAGTTGGTAAACTAGAAAACAGCAGTATATGCATATTATCTAGAAATGTGGAGGGAAAGGCAAGGGAGTTTGCTAAGAAAATGGAGGTGATTATTTTTAGAGAATGAAACTGGGGATTATTGGGAGGTGACAGTTATGTTCCATTAAGTTTTTTGATAATATATAACTTGTAAAAATATTTACTTCTTTAAAAAATAACAAAAAGGAAAGATGATTCATTAAATGTACCTAAAACAAGTATAACCTAATGTTTTGATTTTTATGCTTTGTAAGTTTTTAATGATCACTTATTAAAGGCGACACCTAATTATACTAAAATTAGAAAAACAAGAAGAAGAAAATGAAAAAAGGAGAGTATACACAGAAATGTTATTCCTTTTTCTGTGGATATCAATATCACATAAAATACTTTAAGGACTCTGGAACAGAAGAATTTAATAAATATTGCAAGAATTAGTGGAAGGAAAGAAAAATGTGATACACTAAGGATTCCCAGATCATTGGTAGGGCAGAAGGAACGAAAGGGATAGGAAAAGAACAAGTGAACAAAGTGAGAAAAATTTCCTTTTATTATGTATCACAGAATAAAATTATTTGAGAGACTAAGTCATATCATATGTAAACAAGTACAGAGTACACGCTTGTTTGTATAAATGTTTTTATACACATGCAAACATGTACGGGATACTTGCTGACTTTACTTAACATATATCATCTCTCATCAGAAGAATAAATAAAACATACTAGGAAATGTTCTCCCATAGTATCAGAAGGAATGAAAAATAATGAAGAATGGTAGAGATTACCTGTAGTCATCTATTAAAGTTAAAATAATAGTATAATAAAGTGCTGAGTAAAAGCTCTGCTAAAAAAATGTATACAGAATACAAATAGGTCATGTGTATTAAGTCCTATTAGCCAGTAAAATAAAAAAGAACAGTTTATATACTAATGGTATCTATTTACTATTATTAGATTTATTCTATCACATTAATCATAGAAGAATAACAAGCTTGTCTTCTCCCAAGTATTCAAAAAATACATGTAGAAATTTCCTGAATCTGTGTTCTTTACTGAGGCTATTCATATTTTAAGCTATTATTTACACATGCTCTCTTTGCTATTATGGAAATTGCTGTAAAAATTAAATGTTACTCAGAGAACATTTTATTATGAAGAATATTAAGTAAGTGTTGGATGTTGTGACATACCAAGCTACAGTACAGTCACTCATTATTATTCAAGAGGTTGTATAACTTTCATTAATACAATAATAACATTCCAGCTCTTGAAAGACACACTCAGAAAATCAATCATAAAATAATGTTTCCTTGGTATGCAATATATTTTTCTTTCTTTTTTTATAATATTTTATTTTTAAATAATCTCTACACCCAATATGGGGCTCAAACTCACAACCCCGAGATCAAGAGTTGCACGCTCCACCGACTGAGCCAGTCAGGAGCCCCTGCAATGTATTTTTCTAGAGTAAAACTAACTCAGTCATAGTAAAAAATGTGAAGGACTTTGCATGCATAAATAAGGACTGCCATAATTAGAAGTAAAAAAATTTACCTGACATAGAGGGATCGCTTCTGGCTAGTTCGAAGAGAACCTGATCCTGAACTAATGCTACTATTCATCATCTGCTCCCGTAAGTCATGTATTTTGGCTTCAAAACGACTGTATTCTGATGGGGAAAAAAATAAAATTTATACTTTACATTCGAAAAAATAAGTTACTTGAAAATAAAGTATTAAATGTGTTAGCTGTCTTTTTTTGATTAAATGTGGTTAGAACCTTAATAGAGTAACCTATATAAGATTTTGGCCAAAAGGCAAACTTCAAAAAAAAAAAATTAACAATTTTCTAAATGTACCATAAGTTAGAATTGGCTGAATGAGAACTTTCTCATATGCTATTTTAAAGTTCGTATCACATTTAATCAATTAAAAGACAACTTTCATGCATCAAATACCAGTATCAATCTCATATTACTATCTAATTTAACTGTAAATTTTAAAAACTAAAACTCGTAATTTATTCTGATTTTTATACTTAAAAAGAACAATCCTATAATGATTTGTAATAGATGCTATTTACTGCCTTTAATACAGCAAAAATATGCCTTAAAAATTAATAAATTTACTTCATTTTGTAATTTATAAATTTTCAAAATGCCAAAATAAGACACAAAGCAATTTGAGTAAACATTTTAAGAACGTTTTTATATAAAAACAGGTATGATTTTGAAGATGAACTATTTTAGACTCTACCATAAAAACTACCAAATCTATTAAAACCTTAGGCACTTTTTCAAATATATTGCAATTATACACTTACACACTTTTATACCTTCTTCTCTATTTATAATAAATTATTTTACAGAAATTAGGTTAGTGCTCATCAGATTTTCTTAAAAAACCAGTCTTATATCAAGAGCAAATCCCTTGCTTGGGAGTTTGTATAATTTAAGAAGACAGAGTAAGAGTAAGCATGATTATTGTGGAGTTATTCTTCCTTTCACCATAGTTATCAAGTTTGTTTTATGGGTACTAAGATTAACTGAAGCAACAATTTATCAAAAAACTCAAAAACATTTAAAAGCTCTCATATTAATATATAATAAAATGTTATTTTATTGTCCTTTAAAAATATAATAGGAAATTTAAAATATAAACGTTAGTAGACAGTATAATGTATCCGTTACAATTCAACAATTAACAACTCATGGCAAACCTTATTTGCATAGACACAGCTAAGATACAGGCAGACTGATGGATGGAGATATAAATAAAAATATAAAGTGAACTGTGAGTTTATACTGGTTCTTCTTCTTTTTTAAGTTTTATTTATTTAAGTAATTTCTACATCCAACGTGGGGCTTGAACTCACAACCCCTGGATCAAGAGTGGTATACTTCTCTGACGGAGCCAGTCAGATGCCCCTTAAACTGGTTCTTCTAATTAAAAATTAAGACCATTAGATTTTTAATTAATCTATTCGATCATATCTGTATGTGCTTTCTTGCATAAGAGGAATTCTAGTTCTTAAGACACTGGGAATAACAGAGTTCTGCATGGTGACTTAAAATTTTATCCACTATTACATTCACAACAGCTTTAAAATAACACCCACAACTAAGACCATGACATCATTACTGAAAACAGCTAATTACTTTCCCTACTTCTTTTTATCTTACTTAGAGCATGGTCTAAGTTTAATGGCTGTTTTTTTTTTTTTTTTTAAGATTTTATTTATTTGAGAGAGAGAATGGGAGATAGCACGAGAGGGAAGACGGTCAGAGGGAGAAGCAGACTCCCGGCTGAGCAGGGAGCCCGATGTGGAACTCGATCCCGGGACTCCAGGATCATGACCTGAGCCGAAGGCAGTCGCTTTAACCGACTGAGCCACCCAGGCACCCCTTAATGGCTGTTTTAAAGTGACTCTGAGTAGTTCCTCCCTAGGTGTTACTGTTGCCAAGTGGATATACATTTAGGTTCATTTGTTCTTACTTAGTTTCAACTTTAATTTTTAGGGGTTGCTTTTTAAATTTTTCATTGTTTTTAATAGGTAGGTAAAATAGTTCTAAGGTTGTATCTGTAAAACAAGGATATTAAAGATAAAGTTTAACTTCTAGCCCTCTCTCCTACCCTACTCTGTCCTGGTCACTATATATAAATATTTTAAGAAAGGATTATTATAAACATTTAAGGAAAGGCTTTTTTAATATTTATTATAAACATTTAAAGAAAGTTTTTTTCTTCCAGGGGCACCTGGGTGGCTCAGTTGGTTAGGCATCCAACTCTTGATTTTGGCTCGGGTCGTGATCTCACAACGCTGAGCGTGGAGCCTGCTTAAGATTCTCTCGCTCCCTCTCCCTCTGGCCCTCCACCCACCTCCGCTTCCCTCTTCTGAAAAAAAATAAAAAAATAAAGGTTTATTCTTCCATTTTTTTTTTTAAAGATTTTATTTATTTGACAGAGAGAGAGAGAGAGCAGGAACACAAGCAGGGGGCGTGGGAGAGGGAGAAGCAGGCTTCCCGCTGAGCAGGGAGCCCGATGCGGGGCTTGATCCCAGGACCCTGGGATCATGACCTGAGCCGAAGGCAGACACTTAACGACTGAGCCACCCAGGCACCCCTATTCTTCCATTTTTAATAATACAAGCAGATACACATGTATATGTAAATATATTTACACGTACTTATTCTGTTATTTTAATATATATGTAATATATAATTATGTATATATTACATATTCACACACATATATATATGTATATACACGCATTGCTCCTTTCTAAACACTAACCTACACATTTCTTCCAACATGCTTATTTTACTTAACAGAAAGTACAGTAATAGTCTTACTAACAGTAAGGACACTGTATGGTAGCATATATAGACATCTCTCATTCTTTTTTTTTTTTTTTTAAGATTTTATCTATTTTTGACAGAGAGAGCGAGAGAGAGCACAAGTAGGCAGAGGGGCAGGCAGAGGGGGAGGGAGAAGCAGGCTCCCCGCTGAGCAGGGAGCCCGATGTGGGGCTCAATCCCAGGACCCAGGGATCATAACCCGAGCCAAAGGCAGCCGCTTAACCAATTGAGCCACCCAGGCACCCCTCTCACTCTTTTGTAATAGCTATATAGTTCTTTTGCATTTAGCCTTTATCTCTTTGTTAGAAAAAAATACTGTAGCGTTAGATTCTGCTTTATCAGCAAATCTGAAAATTTTCTTTGAACAATTAAGGTAACTTTTGATATAACTGAAGTTGTCTGATCTTAGTTCTATTCGTATTATTTTATACTTTATTTATACATACGGCAAGCCTTCTGTATCAATAGTTGTGTCAGAGTATATTTTCCCAAGATATGTGCTTGCATCCCACATGTTCTTGTACTATGTGACCTTGACATTCCCCCATCAAGAGGTGGAATCTAATCACCCTCTCCTTGAATTCTGGCTGGCCTTTGACTCACATGCAAATGAACATGGTAGAAATGATTATATGTGATTTTCAAAGTTAGATTAGAAGAGGCCACGAAACTTTTGCCTGTTTCTTTAGGGATGCTTGTTCTGGGGGAAGGCAGATAACCATGGAAGAAGTCTGATAATCCTCAAAGCACCATGCTGCAGAGGTCCCATGATGGTGTTCTGAGCCCAAACTTTTAGCCAGTATCACCAAGGCACAAGACAAGGGGAGTAAAGCCATTTTGGACCCTCATCCACCAGCTGAATCCCATTAAGTGACCTCAGTTTATGCCACAAAGGCCATTCAAAGTCGTGACTGAATTCCTAATCTACAGAATCCATAAAATGGTTATTGTTTTAATCCACTAAGCTTTGGAGTAGTTATGAAAAACACACTCTCGCTGTGCAGTCTATTTGTTTACACATACACAAACACAAAAGGACAAGCCTTCCTAGATTTAAAAATATATATTAAATTCCTAAAACAAGGAATTATATAAATATATATGTATATATAAAAACTAAATTTATATTTTATAAATATATTTACAAATGTATTAAATTATTTTAAACATCAATATTTAATATTTAATAAAATATTCATAAATATTAAAAATATTTTTAAATAAATTTATATAATTTCAAGGACAAATATATAAATATAAAATTAGGAAGGTTTATTCCTCTGTTCTAATGGTAATCTTTTGTTTGGTTTTTGTCCCCTTCACCATGAGCAATCTCCACAGAGCCAAACTCAAATATTATCCTTTTATATCCAGTTTAAACTTTAAAGCAATCAGAAAGCTTATACTATTTTCATAGGATCTTCAAATTTTCCCCATTTTCTGATAACTGTACTTTATCCAAATTGTCAGAGCATACAGTCTTTTCATATTATATATTCTCCTACTTACAACTAAATTAATTGTTAGCACCAGTCCTTAGGTCAGTATCTCTCCCATCATTTTGGGTGTCTGAAGTTTGTTCTTTCTTCTCAGAGTGACCTGAATATCAATCTGTTTATACATTTGACTGAAAGTCTATTTGATTCAGTTTCTTTCTTTGAGTATGCTGACTACAGTGTTTCCCATGAGACATTGCTGATGAAGTTCTAATGACTACCTCATTTTCTTTCCTTTAAAGGGCTTTTTTTTTTTTGGCCTGGAATTCCACTGAATTTTTTTTCTTTACTTTTTTATTCTGAGATTTTTGTTATCATTTATTTGTGAGGTTAAAAACAAGTGACAGCAAGTAAAAACTTCCATACAACTTTTGGTTTGTTCTCAATTTGTTTTTAGTTTCAATGTCGTCCTGAACAGATGGAACAGGACAGACCAGTCCTGGGAGTGAGGGGATCCCAGGGGAATGGAGCCAGGCAGAGAAGGAGAGCAGAGAGGCTGCAGGGCTTTTGGGGGGGTGGGGGTTGGAGGGCAGGGTATGTGTGTGTGTTTTTCTTTTAATCCCAATAATTTTATGAGAATATTTCTCAGTGCTGGTTATCACCTTAGGTAAATAGAATGTCTTTTTGATACGTAGTTTGATTTTTTTTTTAATTTCAGGACAGTTTTCTTGTTTATACACTATTAGTATTTGTTCTATATGCATTGTTTTGGTTTTTTTTCCTTATGAAACTCCCACATGTATGCTGAATATTCTTTGCCTACTTTGTCATTCTCAAATCCTTTTTTATTCTCTGCTTTTCTTATTAATATATTTT